CAGTAGGTCCACTGGCGCGCCAGGTGAAGTCCACTTCTCCCAGCATCCCGAGGGCCAGACCCCGAAGACAAGGGAGGCAAAAAACCGCCATCTCTGGATCCTGGACAAGTCCCCCCAGATGTTGCGGGATTCTTGAACAGAGAGACGGGACACCTAGGCTATAAGCACGAAGCAATGTTTATTGATGCTGGCACTGGCTCAGTGGATTCTTATCCAAAAGCTGAGCCCCGATTGTAACATAACGGGCAGTTGTATAGAGTCTAATCATTCCTACACAGTTACAGATATAAGGAAGAACATTCATTAGTTGGCAAACTGTAAGAAAACCGATGTTAGCTGGAGATTCCTGGGCAAGGATGGGGGGAGGCAGTCAGGAACGAACTTGTTCGAGCAGGAAATGGCCAGGCATGGCAAGGCTGCCACATGTTCTCTTAGATAGCCAGACATCGACCAGGAGGAGTTATGATTTGCAGTTTACAGATCCAACACAGAGGTACTGTGGCGGAGGAAGGTCAGATATTGTTACCTGAGTTGCTGCCTGGATTCATTTTTCTTTGTTTTCTAGGCCTTCAAGGATATTTGCAAATACTTCTCTAAGGAAGAATGGGCAAAGCTGGGAAACTCACAGAAATACACCTATGTGTACATGAAGAGAAACTACGACACCATGACTGGTCTAGGTAACAACAAGTTCTGGATCCACACAGGCCTGGGAACACATGACCATCCCTGTTTCCCTCTATAGGCCGTGGCTTCTGATTAGGCTGCAGCAAGTGTCCCCTTCTTTCCTTTTGCATGGGGATAAATCCCAGGGAAGCTTCCGACAGTCTACTCTTTTGTATCCTGTGCAGGCGTTAGGGGCGGGAGTGGCCACAGAGATGCTCAGACTTGGATCCTGCAAGTTTCTCTCCTTCTGGCCCTTTTTCGGATCTAACAGCTGGCTGACGAGCTTTACTGTCCCTGCTGCTTTCCAGCATCCCACCCACTTCTCATGCAGTCTCTTAAAGAACAAATATTTTGCTTCTTTTAGGTCTCAATGTCGCCCTCCCAGCTTTCATGAATCCTAACAAACGGACCGCAAAATCTCCTGAGAATGATTCTCATGAAGATCAGAACCCCGGGAATCAGGGTGAGTGACAGGAAGGGCCTGGAAATTGTCCCTTGAAGTGTGACTGTTTCAGGGTCCAGCTGCTCAGGAAAGATTCTCAGGCGTTTCTCTCCTAAAGGGATCATGGCTGCATGCAGAAGGTTAAGTACAGTCAGAGGCCATTCATATAAAATCCTAAATCATGCAAAACAGGAACATATATATTTTATGGATAAGTTGTTGGCAAATGTGTAAAAACCTGAATGAGAATACAACTCATCGAATTCAGGAGAGGAAGAGGAGGGAGGGTAGGCATCCACGAGGCTTGCACAGATGCCTTCAGCTGTGACTTGTTTAGAGTGTTTTGTTATATTCAAATAAAGATCTCAGAGTGATCTGAACAGTTGTCAGATTGTGGTCAGTCTGACTAGAGCCAGTGTTAGATGGGCACAGGTGTCTAA